AAAAACATTCCCACTCTTCAACTTCCTCCCCGCCGAACTCCGCCACCAAATTTGGCAATTTGCCCTCCCCGAACCCACACACCCTGTTTCAGCCTTACTCCCCCACAGAAAAGGCTGCTGGGTGACCAAACCCATACCCTACACCGGAGAGGCAGGCCAAGTCAACGACCCCAATGGCAACTACGAGATAGTATTCGACATCAGCCTCCTGGACCACGTACAGATCCATACTCCTTTACTACACGTGAACAGCGAATCGCGAGCCATTGCACAGAAATGGGCGCAGCGTATATCAGCTCCACGGACGAACTGCCTTGATGAACAACAACAAATCCAGGCTCAAATGTACAATGATAATAGTAGCGAGTATATACCCCCCTTCTCCCGCCCATTCAACATCGACAGCGACTTTCTCTATCTCGTCCCCGACAATATTGTGGATCTGATCCTCGGGGCAGGAGACCGTCTGGAGCAGCCCGATATGAACGGCAAGGCGGCGAAGGTGGTGTTTTCCTTGCCGTTGGTGGTTGTGAGTGAGGAGGTTATCTGGCTCGAGGATGAGGCGCTTGTGGAGGAAATTATGGAGCTGTTTTCGATCATGGGAACGGTTTTTATTCTGGTGGGGGAGCAGCCGAAGTGGAAGGAGGGTGGGGTGCAGAGGTGGTGGGATGTGGAGTTGGTGTCGAGGAGGGCGTTTGTTTGGCAGTGGATGGAGAGCCGGTTTGTGGAAACGGTTGAAGAGAGGTTTGGGAGTGATGAGGTGCATGAGAGGATTGCGCAATGGTGTGAGTGGATGGGGAGGGTGTTGACGAAGATTAATAGGACGAGATTTGAGATGGGGGTTGTGAGGGCTATTAGGAGGTGACTGATACCTTACCATGTCCTTACCATGTGCATGACTTTTATACCTATATCTCATTATGTTGTACCTGAGACCCTGCCTGATGGCTAATAAAATAATAAAAGCTCCATGATCCATGAACTCGGGTCGGGCCGTCTTCCGAGCCAGGGATGCGATTCGATAATATTTAGTAGTTTACCTTGTACCAAGTACAGAGGTATCTACTATCTGCATTCCCTAGACACAAAGCATCATCCATACGCAGTAGCCATCATTCATGCACAGCTGACATGTAGGCCGGAGAAAGGTAACAACCATCACAGTACATGCTCACCTACACCAACCAGAAAATAGTACTATCCCTCCTCACCCTCATAAACCAAAGACACCCTCACAAAGTAATACTCCATGCCTCAATTAATCACCAAGCCAATAAGCATGACCCCTTGATTTCATCCATCCTCCAAAGTACAAACTAACTAACTAACTAGCCAGCTAACATGTCCCAGGCCCTAGTAGTCTCACAGCAGTTAACCTCCCGAACCCGAACCCCTCAAACAGCCCGATCAACACCACAGATAAACTCCTAAATCCGATAGCCTTCCGCCAACAACACACCTATCAGCAGTACAGAGACCACGCGAAGGATTCCACTCCCGCCCGACTGATTAACAATTAGCCCGATCTCTACAGCCTTGTCTTAGTAATGAACCTGAACCAGACCGGACACGGATACGGACAGGTACAACGGGTAGGCAGTAGGTACACGGAGCTTAGCATAAACCCCGACCCACCCGCTGATCTCCTCCCGATCGGAGCGGAGGTATGCGGTGATAAGTGTCGGTGTTATCACTACATACATGCTTGCTTACTTTCAGATCACTGAATGATATAGTATAAATACTCACCTCGACCCATTTCATCTTCCATCTTACATCTAAAATATTGATTCTCGTTCTCCAACCACCAACCCAACCAATCAAATACTAAGTACCAAGAAGAGGAAAGAAAATGTCCCAAATCCTCATCACCGGCGGCACCGGCTTCCTCGCCAGCACCCTAATCGACCTCCTCCTCTCACGGGGCCACAACATAATCACGACCGTGCGGAGCGCTGAAAAAGCCTCGCAGGTACAATCCCTCCGTCCTGACATCCCACCTCACCGACTCGTGGTGAAAATCGTCCCCGACATCTCCCTCCTCTCGGCGTTCGACTCCGCCGTGGTCAATGACCCTCCACTCACGGGTGTAATCCACACAGCGAGTCCATTCCACTACAGCATCGACAACATCAAGAAGGACATGTTAGATCCCGCCGTCAACGGCACCATCGGGATATTAAGCTCCGTGCAAAAGTACGCACCTACAGTGAAGAAAGTGGTGATTACGTCGTCGTTCGCGGCGATGTGGAATCCCCAGAAACCTGCGGGGAGCAAGTACTCCGAGAAGGACTGGAATACCGTTACCTGGGAAGAGGCGGTTAGTCCAGCGAATGCGCAGGGACAGGCTGGGTATCGGACGAGTAAGGCTTTGGCGGAGCGGGAAGCGTGGGGGTTTATGGAGCGGGAGAAGCCGAGCTTTGGGTTGACGGTGATGAATCCGTCGTTGATATTTGGGCCGGTCGTGCCTGGGTCGTTGAGGAATCTGGGGGAGGTGAATACGTCGAATACGAGGATTAGGGATTTCGTGGCGGGGAGGTTTAGGGAGAAGTGTCCGGCGACGGGGAGTGCGTTTTGGGTGGATGTGAGGGATGCGGCGTTGGCGCATGCGGTGGCGTTGGAGAAGGGGGAGGTGACGGATGGGAAGAGGTATTTTTTGACGGCCGGGGGGTTTTGTAATAGGGAGATTGTCGAGGTTCTGGGGGAGGAGTTCCCGGAGGTTAAGGGGGGGTTGCCGGTGGGTGAGGAGGCCTTGAGGGATGGGGAGTATCCGGAGGGTGGGCCGAAGTATGGATTTGATAATTCGGCGTCGGTGGGTGATTTGGGGTTGGTTTATCGCGGGTTGAGGGAGAGTGTGAGGGATACGGTGGTGAGTTTGAGGGGGGTGCCTGAGTAGGGGGACCCGTTGGGTGATGGCATTGTAGATAGACGATTTATATAGACTTTTGATGAATAACACTTTGATGATGTCAGTCTGTGATCTGAACAGTGTGTTGATGTATGGAATAAGAAAAAGCTCGATTTGCTTCAGCAAGCAATATTTGGAATGTCTGCAGAATCTCGGGATTTCCGATGTTGAGCTGCTATCTAGATCTCTGGCCCACCGTCAAACTTGGTTCGCACGGATTAGATAAGAATTAATAAGTGGGCATATTTGTTAGAATCTCCACTTTTCGCCTCATCGCAGGGTCGAGAGCTGTAGTGGGGTGAAGCTATCGTTCTTGTTTCGTAAGGCTTCATCCACAAATCGTACATTTCTCCCACACCAGCCAATGTGGTTAACAGATTTACGAGCGAGGAACCAATGAGTGAGCGTCGGTAAAATAATCAACCGCATGACATCTTCAAGGCATGAATAAGACCTGAGCGTATATATCTCACTCTCAGTCCATGTCCCTCCGAAGGCTCTTCAGGCCAAGCCGGGAGTCCCAGCGCTAGTCGCCACTATCCCGTATACAGTTGGTCTGCATACGTATGCCTGTAGTCTATACGAGGTTAGAAATAACAGGGTAAGAGTTTTCAGTCTGTCATTGGTTTGTTTTTGGACCCCAAATCCCTAAGGAACTTAAGCTTAGGCAATCATGTTGCCTGTGGGGCTTATGCAGTTGGGTGAAGATAGTTCCCTTGCTGAGGAACTGACATATAAAGCAGGATTGCTTTCTCGTCAAGAATGTATCTAGTTTCCTCGTAAGTCTTCAGTAGTCAAGTTTCGAATTGCTCACCATGAAGTCCTCTGTCATCTCCGCCTTGGCTCTGGCCGCTGGTGCTCTTGCCGCTCCGTCTGCAGAGATCGAATCCAGCCTCGAGAAGCGCAACCCCAGCGGTTCCTTCAGTCTGTATGCCTGGGGTGTCGCCGCTTCCGGTCTCAAGTTCTTCTATTCCGATGGTACATAGTAGTCATCTCAACTCAATTCTCAACATCACGCTGACATTCGCATCAGGTCTCGCCTACGCCGGTGACTCATCTCTCTGGCCGTATGGATCCGTCACCACCGACGTCACCTGTCAGCATTCCTTCCAAACCACATGCACAGGAATTTATCACTAACCATGCTGCAGTCGTCATCACCGACACCGAACTAATCACCACTGCCACCACCGACGGCGTCACCCTCGACTCCGACACCCTGTTCTATATCCGTCCCACGGCTGACGAGATCCTGCCCGTTGGTTTCACCGGCAATGGAATCGATACGCCTTCTGATGCTGCCACTGATGATTTCCTCTTCTATGGTTCTTATCTCATGTGGGAGGAGTCGTCAGGCGAGTTGAGCGATGTGTTCCGTCTCAAGGAGACCAATGTCACCGATGTTTATCAGGTGTACTGGGATACGTCGAGCTTGGATGAGAGTGGGTATTATTATCCCACTGTTAAGGATACAGCGCCTTCTAGTTAGGTTGTTGTTGAGTAGCTGAAAAGGGGGTTGGTGGGGCAGTTTGTGGTGGGATTTCGAGGGAGGGTGGGTGATGGCGAAAGAGGGCTGGTATGAAGATACTGGTTAGTCAATGTAGAGGTGAATGAAATGATGAAAGTTATAACGATTAAAGCGTTATTGCGATTGAAAGAAACTAACTTAGCTTGATTGGTTGACGGTGGAGGACACGATGTTGCTGTCGTTGTCTGTAGTAGACCCTCGAGGGAATCTGTTGCACAAGGGTATGCCTTCAATCAGCTTCAGTAGGACCACATTCTGTTCGATATGTGCACAGTTACATGTCTTCTGGAGAAGGGGACGCGTCTCGATAAAGTCTCTGCGTATCTGTAGCTTGGTTGGTACTGAGTAGGCGATAAGTACTAGCAGAATTGGAAGACAGTTAAGGTGGCACGTGCTTCTCGACGGTACATCTTTCCTCGAATTAGATCTGAGTCAGAAAAAGAAGTGTACAGGGGGAGTCTTTGCTCTTTGACCAGCTCGAGGTTTTGGTTATTGACTCTTATAAGCCAGTCTCATTAATCTGGGATTATCGAGGAGATAAAAATCTCTTTAGTTCATGGAAGAGTACGTAGATGTGCAGGTCTATGTTGACAGAGGGAAAATAAATCATTATCAGTCTGGGCACTTCCGTCCTAGCTAATTATTATCGTCCATACATATGTGCACATGGCAAACAATTTTGGAATAGAATGCAAGGGTATTTCGAACAGCAAATGGGTGCAATATGAGCAAGAAGAAGGTTGCATGAGCAACGGATATCAGAACCAGCGCAGAAGCTTAACAGAAGCGACACACACATTTTCACGACAGCACCTCCATCAGATCTTAAGCCCACTTTCCGAGAAGAGCCATAATACCAGCACCCCAGAGCATGGTGATGACCATGAATGCCAGTCTCTTGTTGTCTTGGGAGCGATGAGGGTCAAAGATGAAGTCTCTAGCCAGAAGCTCAACTAGACCAGTGTAGATCAGGATACCGGCAGAAATGGCGTCCAAAACACCGGAGACCACGTTGGCAGTGTACGAGCCAGAGTTGTAGGTTGTTCTGACACCAAGGCCAATAGCGATCGAGATGGGCGTGGTCAATCCGTACAAGCTGCAAAGGATCCACGGCAGCCAGCTGCCCTTGCGAAAAGGAATGGCGGACATACGAGCTCCAATACCCAGACCCTCGAAGGACTGGTGGAAGACAAGAACGGGGTAGAGCGTCGCAAATTCGTCGCCAGTGACTCCCAGGTTCAGACCAATAATGACGGAGTGGAAGATGACACCGAACTCGAGAATGAGGAAGGCGGCAATCTGTTGCTTGAAGGACCTTTCGATCAATGTGTCAGTGGTGGACAACTCCTCCACATCAGCCTCGCTCTTCCTCGAGTTTCCGGGCGATGCCTTGTCCACAGTCGAGTTATCCACTGCACTGGTCATGATTGGCTCGGGGTCCTCTCTGCAGACGCCATACTTGACTTCGACATAGCGCTCGGCACCAAAGTCAAGGAGGAAGATGCACATGAGCGAGGTCAAGACGATCGCAGGGCACCAGGAATAATCCGCCCAGTTACCAGTCATTCCGACACATGACTGCGGGCCAATCTCGGAGTATGCGGGGTCCAGAAGATGGATAAAAGCTGTTGCAATGATAACACCAGCACCGAAGTAACGAGCGAAGAGGTAGACGTAGAGTGGGATATGCAGCCTGGGGACGCGCTTGGCGACGACGGGGAAGAAGGTCACTGCAGTTGAAACGGCAAAGATCACGAAAATAGCCGAAATGCGGGCGCCCAGCTGGCCGTTGTAGTCATTTTCTGACTTGTTGAGATAGCAAATAATCTCCGTTGCGTCGGCCGTGTCGAGGTCAACATCGTGAGGATTGAACGACATTTTGAATTTTTTGAGATTGTATGTCACTCAGGTAATTGAAAGATGAGAGAATGAAATTGACGGCTCTGATCATTTCCTCAGTTTGGCCATCGTTGCGTCACGGTCTTATATAACGGAAGTGCGTGGCAGAGATTTTCCAGGTGAGGACCTTGTGAGGACCTTGAGAGCGTGGACAGGCCCGGTCCCCGACACTAACAAGGTAGCCTGCCTCTGACTCGTTTATTCATTTCACTTATCTTGCTATTGCTTTTGCGAGTGTTAGCCAATGATTGAGTGAATTACATCTGTCGAATTCCACGTTCTACAGCATCTTCATGCAAGAATGTCGCCCCAAGAGCAGGGGTATCTTCTTGATGAGATGAGTCGTGTATGGCCATCATCAGATTGTCACCATCACACCACCATTCACTTCACTCTGCAAACAAAGTCAGGAGAGGGATTTGTAGCAGGTAGGACCTTGGTGGAAAGTCAGCGGAGGAAGAACGTTGGTAATAATGATGAGGGTGATGGTGATGGGCTGTCAGACAGGTGCCGTGGATACAGGTGGGGAGGAAGCGAGAAGGATGGTCGGCGGAAGAGATTAAGCCCAGCCCACCTCAACCGGGTTAGTCCTCCACTAAGGTACCGCTTCCCTCGTCGCGCATGCCACCGGTTGGCCCGATCCATTGTCCGCCCCCTCTCCACTGCGTGCATAGCTTGGTTGGTGTGCCCCTGCTGCCCAAACCCAGATTCAGCTGTGATATCGGATGTCCCCCGACTGGCGTGGTGAGTTATTTGCTCACTTCTCGGCGACCAAGCAGGTACTCACACCAGTCCACCATCTTAGTCCAATCGCATGGCTCCTATCCAGGGTTGTCTTAGATGGATAATAGACGCATTCATAAAGATTTGGTCATTTTTTTCTTCATAGTGGACCACCCTGCGGCGCTTAATACTGACTAGAAAACGCCACAGTTGATCGAACTGATCAGGAAACAAATCCGAAGTTGCCGCTGTCTAGCCCAAGCGAAACAGTGGTCGATGGATGCCTTGTCTCCTACAAGTTTCCTCCTAGTTCTATTCGCTCTCGTGAACTAGTCCTCGCTAATCTTTAGCCCCATGTCTTACACGAATGCTGCGGTTTGCCTGCTTGGTTAGCCTAATCGTTGTCGATACAACAGGTCGCGGTGATTGACAACTGGTACTACCTATTACCTCATGGTCACAGGAATGGAGACAGAAGACATGGACCGATACAGAAGCAACATATCTGAACAATATCAGAGACATATCATCATAGCAGATGTCATGTACAGCACGAAGTACGAGGCGCTGTCAAAAATCCCTTGCGTCTTGGCCCCATATCGCACTGCGATGATGCAGTCATAATCTAGCTTAACCGAGACCTCCGTCGGCAGACGCAAACTGCAAAGGCCCACACAGATGAGACCCCTAATTCAATACTCAGAGTCTAAAAGCCTGCAATCTCTTTGGCTGTTCGTGGATCCCGCCAATTGAGTCACGTTGGATGCTTCCTATCGGGGAAAGCTCCGGTGCGGAAGCCGCCGCCAACATGTGGATGATGCATCCCATGCTGCAAACAGCAAGCCATGTGGAAGCTCTTGTCCCTTACGGCTATTCCCGTGCTTGTATCGAACCCTTCTGTAGTGGAGGTCGAAATAGTGAACGCGACTGCGATCTTCCCTGTGGAGTACTGTCCAACGTTTCACTACATGCATTCAACACATGCAGATGCACGGAGTCTGCAGGTGCTTCATGCTGTTGCCTCTTGACAACTTTATATACAATTATCTGTTTATTGCGGGACAAGTTTATCCTCCGAAAAAGACTTTCCTATTGTACTTGGCACACCTGGAGCTTATATGTAGGTGACATGATAGAAAAGACAACTAAAATCATAAACCCATATCATGAATACATTCATTCACTCCCACTTGCGCACCCAAGTGACTCAAATCATCCATCACAATATACCCTAGAGTGTTGTCTTCAAGCCCGAGATACAGCCTGATATTGGTGGTATCGGTATAGATGGCCGAGGCGCGGTTGTGAAGTCATAGCCGGGGAGCGAGCATCGACAGCATTTAATGCTAGTTATCGTTAGGTCAGTTTCTTCTGGTTCCGCTGGTATACAAGACCAGGTGGCTTCAAAATACGGGTTACTCACGCTGCAAGAGGCGCAGGAGCAGCTGGAGCAGTTGCCAGAGCAGCAGTTGCAGGAGCAGGGAGACATTTTGGCAGAGTTGGTTTAAAACCGGTAAAGATGTACTAAAGTAGTTTGAAATTTAAGGCTTTGCTTGAGAATTTGAGACTTGAGTTGTGGTTAATTAGAAAAGATCGAGCAACCAGAGGCATGACGGCCTATTTATGTCCTTTCAGAGCAACCAATTTCATCCGTCGTGCCATTTCTCTGCGCTATCCGCGCGTCATGACCATTCCACGCTGCACCAAACATGACGGTGCAGCCCCTCATTTGGCTTGAGTCGACTGTGGGGTGAGGCAGCTGAATGGCGAGTTACATAACAGCCTGCAATAACTCTTGTAGCATGGCTAAACCTTGGTTAGTGAGGGAGCGTTGCCTGACCCTGCTTCCCCACCATAGGCCTGACCAGAAAAGACGCTAAATGTCAGCAGCCGTCGTCTGGAGTGGATTCCAATCACGGGTTGGTGAATGATGATCAACCTCCTTCATCCGTCTCATCTTGGATACACCTGCCAGGTGAGAGAAGACCAACATTCATGACCGAAAGGAAGGAAAGAAAAGAGAGGAATCGTTGTGCGGGTGTTGAAAGTCAGAATACTTATAAAATGGAGAGAATGAGCACCTTGAGAGCATGAGCACCTTGGTGGCACTCACGTGTCTTTCCGATCACTCAAGGTCCTCATTCTGCTCTGTCTCCTTTTCCTACTCTCTCTGGCGGCCTGAAACGCTCCGAAGCGCCCGTGTGTGTCTGGTCTCTTTAGTGACCACCATTTTCTCGCCGTCTTTGACTAGTGCAGGTAAGAGTTTTCGTCCTCCTCGAAATTGGCGAGATCTAACTCCCAATCCGGATAGCAGGGTACTCACGCAGTCGACGCTACAGGTTTCGATTCGTACTGCTTACCCACCATGAGATACCTTGCGCACGTATCATGATCCAGCTCGACGCCAACTTTGCAGTCATCAGAATGGAGGCTAGGCTGCCCTGGTGAACTTGCCCCCACCGACAGAACGAGCCCTATCCAGCTTACGAGGACGGAGAGCACGGTGCTCTCTCGTTACTTTTTCCTTCTCTAGTCACGAAGAGAACTTTCACTTGCAAATTCTCCCGGACTTCTCCTATCCACCAATCGGTGGCACCGAACCCCCTGGATACAAGCAGCAATACGTTCGTTGTAGTAAAGATATTCGAGTCATACGTTCCGCGACACTCCACACACCTCCCGCGGTGTGTCATCGATATTGTCTACGGGATCACTTTCACCTGATGTCTGTCTCAGATGTTGCGTCCAAGCTTTGCCAATTGAGAAAGTGTGCACTACTTTCGGGCCAAAGTGAGGCCAATTTCCCATTTCTTGCTTCGCGGACCTATTCGGAGGAACTCGTCTGGATGCAGTGTACCCACTGTGGCTTCGCCTTGCTTTCTCCTTGAGTGGCCATTTTAAACAAGGCAAATGGTTTGCATTCTCATTTGCATTAGTCGAGTCCTGAGAGCGTGCATTCCGCGCCACTGATGCTAGCGTGTACGAACTCGCATCCTGTGCAACGCAGTGATCATTATTTCATGCCCGGCTCCAGAGAAGCCAGTTTCAACGGTGGCATTGTGATGCAAGCTCCTGGACTCTCTCGCGGCACTCGACAGAGGCATGGGGGTTGCCTCCATCTTGGACACGGGACAGAGACACGCCGATGATCCTTGTCTCTCCGACCAAACTAACTCCTCCGGAAAGCAGAAAGTTAGAACAAGTGACTATAAGGTCGGCTAGGGCGCTTTCCTGAAAAATATATTCTCTGCACTGCCTCTACTGACATCCCTGTTCCTACCACAGCTCAAAAGCACCCAGTAATGTGATCAATTTCAGTCGCTCGGACAGTATACTTTCCGAATCGGGACGCCTGGTGGTGCCAGGAATATAGGCTAACATTATAGAGACTTTCTATGCTTCATACTCAGAGTACCTGGAATAGATCCTGCTTCCACTCTAGCATAGAATTGCGACTTGGTCCGGGAGTCCCGGAGAGGGAACATGGAAGTCAATGTGCCTGAGGCAACCATTAATGCAACGGAAGTATCTGCTTAGCTACTCTCCTAATACTATCCCCACCATTCCTCCGTCACTCCTCTCAACAGGTCATAGCGAAAGTCGATTAGTTATGGTGCTAGTCTGGGGGATCTTGAGATCTCATCACCCGGGCAGGTCAGACTAGTCAAGAAAGCGAGGCTGTGCGAGTCTTCCTAATCCCGTCTGCCAGCCTCCTATGTTCTCCACAAACAAACACTCAGTCAGCCAATGTTGCAATACCTACTAGTATTCCTATGCATTATTATATTATCCTTCTATGTTTGATGTCGAATATATACGTCTAAAATTTTGTTCTCAGCCTCCACCCACCAGCAACTCCCCTCGCGACCACGAATGCAGCACACGCCGCAAGATACAGGATTCCGCCAAAAAGAATCAGTCCCCAGAAAGCACCTCCGTCCCTCTCTTGTATCGCCCCCGCAATAGGGATTGCAGTCAGGGTTCCGAAGCTCACCAGAGTGAACGTCGTTCCGTTTCGCTTCCCTATATCCTCCGTTCGACACACCTGTGCGATACAAACGGGCGTCAAGCTGATAGCCGCTCCGCTCCAGAACCCGAACATAACCGAGTACGCGATAATGGCACCATCGTTCGTGCCAGCATTATACCACAATGCGAGCGTCATGATTGCACAAACTAATGCAGTGAATGCCATCACGTTGAACCGTCCGAATCTGTCCGCAAGAAGTCCTGGAAATGCGCGTCCCGGGATGGCCCCGACGTTGAGGAAGATACACAGTTTGTACGAGAGCGACTCTCCGATGTTGGCATATAAACCGTACGAGCAAAGATAGGTATAAGGTACGAATACTGCAAACTCGACCATCCATACTGCAAGCGTGGTGAGGGCATAG